TGTATAACATAATGATCCAATATTTGTATAGAAATGATCACTACAATGTACCTAGTTAACATTCATTATCATACATAAATTTTTTTTCTTGTGATGAAAACTTTTGATAGCTACTCTCTTAGAGATTTTTAGATATGCACTATAGTATTATTAACTATTGTCTTTGTGTTGTATATTACATCTCCAGACTTATAACTGGAAATCTGTACCGTTTGAACCTTTTCACACATTTGGTCTAGCCCCTTCATACCACACTCCTGATTCTGGCAACCACCAGTCTGTTCTCAGTATCTATGAGTTTGGTGTTTTTGTTTTTTAGATTCTACATACACATGAGATCACATAGTATTTCTTTTTTTCTGTCTGACTTATTTCACTAGCATAATGCTCACAAGATCTAAATTGTCACAAATGACAAATTTCCTTTTTAAATTTATGACTAAATAATATTCCCTTGTGTGTTTCTTTGCATGTATATTTCTTTATACATTTATATATATTAAAATTTATTTATCCATTTCTCCATTTATGGATACTTAGGTTATATCTTGCCTGTTATAAATATTACTGCAATCGACATGGGGATACATTTATCTTTTCAAGTTAGTGGTTTTGTTTTCTTTGATAAATACCCAGAAGTGGAACTGCTGGATCATATGCTAGTTTTATTTTTATTTTTTTTTTGTAGTTTAAATAGTTTTTTATAGTAGTTTAATTTTTAATTTTTTGAAAATTTTTGAGGAACATCCATACTGTTTTCCACAGTATGCACCACATTCCACAGTATGCATTGGTTTACATTACTATTAATGCAACTGATCTAATATTTTGACTTAGGAATGTGGCTGTAGATATTTGACTTGAAAAATGTCCAAGAAAGTAAGTACAAAGTCACTGTAAAGGGAATCTGGAAATAAGAATGTATTATTAGATAATATTGAATTTTTGATTGCAAGGTAAATATTTTGTGTCCTCTGTTGGAAAGCAAAGTGACATGAATCTTTAATGAACAAAAATTTGATTTTGAAGTTTATTTTGTGACCCATGGAATGTCTGTTGTTATCAAATTTATGAGACCATCATTTCACTATTACATTCCTTATAAATCTTTCAATAAATGTGTGTGTGGCCTTCTGGTTTTAGCTATCTGGTAAACTGTATTGTTAGTTTATTTTATACTTTAATACTTTGTTAAATAAAAAAATCCTAAAATGTATCATTTTACCCTTTTCTCCATAAATATACATACACATATGTGATGTATATGTACATATTTGTATGTATATATAAATGATGACAATTGTGGAAGTAAAACAAAATGGTGAGAGAATGGTAAAGAAATACTTAGGCATAATAAATAAAGCCACTGAGCACCAAAAGCACTATTTTATGCATAGATGTCAAAGCTATATTTTCCTGTGCTATGTTTAGGATCCTCTTATAACAAAACAAAAGTTGTTTTTACCAACAGATTTTTAAACAGCAGGGACATGCTTTTTATTTACTGTTTTGGTGTCTTTCCCTCATTTACATAAATACCCCAGAAACTAGCAGTTTAAAACTAATAAAAGCCGGGGCCCTCCATCAAGTGCAATAAAGTTTCACAACCATGAGTTAGACTGTTAGAGTGAAAAATAAACCTATATATGCAGTTATGAAGGGTTTTTTTTTGGAAAGTGTATAATCACATTTCAAAGTTAGAACTTCCATTTGAAGTAGCAGTGTAATAATAATACTTAAACATTTATGTAGAACTCTTCATCTTTTAAACACTCTCCCAACATTGGTCAATTAATCTCAACTGCTTCCCTAGGGAGCAGGTATTACTATCTGCTATTTTTCTAGTTAGAAAGTTAAGGAAGGTATACCAGCCCAGACAGAGGGAGGACTGGAGAGACAAATCTCTGGCTCTTATTATTGTGTGATTCCTTTGGGTGTAACCTTGAACAGAATGCATCAGGTTTCTGTTCCATGTTAATGCAATCATTATAAAAGATATAATTAGTAGCTTTTAGCTTTTAGAGGTATTCTTTACCTCCCTAGGCACACCTTCTGAAAAGGATGGGATACAGAAAAGATACAGATTTCATTTGCTCTGTGATAGATTGCACCAAACTTACAGTGAGAGAAGCAAAGTTAAATGCTTCCTCCCTCCCTGCAACCCCCACCCTCACATTATCTTGGCAACTTAATTTATAGTTTTCCAGATAAGATTTACTATGATTAGTACATTTAAAAATGAGTTGAACAAATTTGTTATGCACATTAAAGCCAGAGGAACAGTAAAATAAAACTAATGAACATTTACATTTTTGGAAATATAATTAATGTATGCTTGAGAAATTCTGAAAGATAAACATTTAAATGTTAAAATACTTATTACCTTCCCTACAGGGACAGTGTTGGGAATTAATGAGATAACAAATGTAAAGTGCTTTGAGCTCTTTAGAAGAAAGGTGCCAGATGAATACAAATTATTAATTGTTAAAACTATCAGATGGTTACTAATATATTATTTATGATAAAATACATATTTTTATACTTGAAAAATAGGATTCTCAGGGTGATTTAGCTGAAATAATGCTCCCCAAAGTCCTCCATCTTATTGGAAGTCCTTCTATAACCTTTCCCAAAATTCCTACTGTTTTCCTGACCTCAGAGGCATGACTCCCCAGCCTCCAAACTTTCCCCTGCCTTCCCATTGTCAGAAGTCCACCAAAGTCTTAGAGATTCATCACCATAGAAGAATTCCATGTTCTCTTCTGATTTTGATATATCATGTAAATGTGATGCCTTACAATGCTGTCAATTGTACAGGTTTATTTTATTAGCAGGAAGTGTATGTATTTAAACTGTTCTTTGATACTTCAAGCAACATACTAGAATTTGTTATAGTGAAACTGAACTTTCTACTTTACACAGTATGCTAGCATTTGTGTAAAAGAGTGTATGTCCCAAATTTCATTTAACTTGCACCTCACAAAATCTCAGTTTTCCCATACATAAAATGAGAACAGCAGTAGTATTTACCTGCATGGGGTTGTTGGAAAGATGCCATAAAATAATGTATTGAAAGCTTCTTACTATACACCTAACCCAAAATAAAAGGTAAATGTAAGTAGATAGTGGAAAGTAGGCAAGTAGATAATACACTTTGTCATTAAATATCATCCTTTTCATTTCCTTAAAATCAGTGTAAAGTGGGTAACACATAAAGGAAGATACTGATCATTATCCAAAAATGTATTCCTTACTGGTTAGAACAGTTTTCTCCTCAAACCTTGGCAAGTGTTCAATACTAAACAATGGGCCATTTTTCAAACAAAGATAGTTTTATTGTTAAGTGAGTGCTTCTCCCAACAACTTCCCGAAAAGTGGCACATCATTTACAAACACAAATAAATAAAAAGATCCTTATATCAGCAAAGATTGATAGTCTCTATTTAGACTAGTAAAATCTCTGTAACCAATCGATTAATTTATATTTAGGAGACTTTCGACATTGGACACACACAAGTGATTTTTATTTTCAAGCTTACCTTTGTTTACCAACAGCACAGTACCTTTGCTACATAGATGTGCTAAACTAGATAGTGATAGTGGTCTGTGCTTCCTTGCAAATATCCTGTAATTAAAACATTTCACTAATTTAATCTGGTCCTCTGGCTTTTTCCATTTAATTAGTTGAAGTGATTTTTTTTTTTTTATTAGAACAATTTTTTTCCTCTCCTTTTGGAACTAGGTAGGTTTTTAGGTAGAGAAACAGTCCAGTCACTTTCTAGTGAGACCCAAATGTGAATATAAGGCCTGGAATTAGAAATAGGTATTCTGTGGTGTACGCTAATGTAGATGCAAAGAAAGAAAGTGCATGTTTGAGAAGCCAATTGTGTGGATTAAAAAAACTAAAACAGGTACAGGAGAGTGAACTTGTTTTACTATTGCCAGCAGCTTGAGGCTCAAGCTAATCAAAATTCACATACAAAACTTCCTGTTAGATTTAACAGTTTTGTACTATTAAGAGGGGGTTCTCACCATGTGAAAGATCTACTGCTGTGCTGAACAAAACAGAGACAGTTTTCTTTTAAAGTCCAGAGCAGATGAGAGCCATAAGGAGACAGAGGGTTTCATTTACTCTCAGGACACGATTGTGCCAGTGAACTAATGAGTCTCTTGGACCTTATGTTGCTCTGGCTTCAATTGAGGCGCGACTCTAATGGGCATGTAGTACTTCCTATCCGTCAAGTGTCTGGACAATGGGCCTCTCATATGGATTAGAGCAATCTGGCAAGAAAAAGAGGTCATCCTAGTACCTAGCACAGGCAGGAAACCTGGCTAATTAGTGTATTTCCAACTATAGCAAAACAAAAGCTGACATACAAAAATGTTAATTTTATTGCAAAAACTCTTAGGTTGTGGCTGAGGCATAGTTTAAAAATTATTGCCATTCCATAGGTAAAAAATACCACTTCTGTGTGGTGTGATAACATACATCCGAAGAGGTGTGAATATATGCCCCTAAATCCTACACAGTGCTACAAACCAATGTTACCTCAATAATAAAAAAAAAAAAAAATACCAGTCCTTTCCCCAACACACTCAAATATTTTTAGTCTTTAAAACAACATGTGATTTGATATTGTGAGTTGCATATTTCACCCTTTGGTGAAGCTGCATGATGTAGAAATATTTTTGACAATTATAAAACAAATGCTGAGAATATCAGCTCTGCATAATTTTAACAGTTTGCCCTTTAAAAGGTACTGTTGGATTAAACTTGTAAAAACCCAACTGCTATATTAAATGGAGGACTAGACAATACAAAAGTTTATTCAAGCTAGAAAGCTCTAGTTACTTCTGAAACTAAGAGCAGATACTGCCACCTAGATAAATTCTGATGTTTTAGTTAACTAGATTTTGGCTTACCTTACTTTTTGAAAAATGGCAACAATAAACAATAATGACTTGGTACAATGAAAACACAATGAATGATAAAGAGCACTTAAAAAATGTAATTTTATTGGGAAAAAAGAGGCAAATGTGTTTTGCTAAACAGCAGTTATTAAGCTTTTATTCAACTTTTTAAATGCAGAAGTAAATTACTATTAGAAATACAGGAAGAAAACTATAAAACAAAAACAAAAGCCTCATAATCCTGAAGTTTATGAAGAGGTAGATGCAGAAGTGATATCAGTGAGACATGTAACTTTCCTATTTTATCAGATTATTTCTTCTTGAGTTTGGGAACAGTAAGATTGTTCAGCATTCTCAGGTGAAAACATAAACAGTGTTTGGGATAGTAAGCAGAATTAATTAACAAGCATTTTTTTTTTAAAGAGCATTACATTATAATATGTTCTGATATACTTCCTAGCAAGCAAAGCAAACTATCTTTCTTTCCCCACCTTTTATTTCTAACAGCATAAGGAATGTTGCCCCTTTTTGGCCTCAGATGGGCATCCAAAATCAGTAATGTATTCAGGAACATTCATTTATCAGGCTTAGAGAGGTTTTTATCATCTTTGGACTGAAGTTCTTCATATCTCATTTTGTTTTCCTCTGTTACTCCTAGAATGACTTCGATATCATTAATGATGGCCTGTAAGTGAACAATAAAAGCAGTGTTTATTATTTAAAGACCTCTTAGAACAGCCCATTTCAGTCCCTCAAGCCTTTGCTGCTTTTTGGAGTTAATTACGGTTTAGGCCAATTCTACTCAAAGTGTACTTTGTGAACCAGCACCCATTTGTAAATTGTTAGTTTTCAGTCTTGATAAAATAAGTGAACTGAGAGTAAGAGCTTGGGAAACTTTATAGAATTTTTAAGTCTGTTAAATCTAATAATGAAGCAAATAGGCTTCTATTTTGTATATCTTTAGGTTTTTCCATTTCACTCTATTAGTAGTTTATTTTGATATATTATACAACAGTATTGATTCATAGTAGGTCAGAAAAAACAAACAGGTCCTTTACCATAAATAATTTGAGAAGTACTGGTGTAGTAACCCTAATGAGGGCTAAGAGGTTCTTGAGAATATTTCCATTGGTTTCTAAGAAGAAAAATTGTATTTTCCATTTTATGTTATCTAGTTATTTTTTATTCAGGTAGAATTCCCATATCATAATATTCACCCTTTATAGTGTACAATTCAGTGGTTTTCAGTATATTCACAAGCAACCATTACCTTTCTGTAATTACAGAACATTTTCAGTCACCCCAAATGGAAACAGTACCCATTAGCAGCCATTCCACACTTCCCCTCTGCCTTAGTTCCTGGCAACCAATAATCAACTTTTTGGTCTATGGATTTCCTAAATCTGAAGATTTAATATGAGTGGAATCATATAATATGGGCCTTTTGTGTCTGGCTTCTTTTGCTTAGCATGTTTTTGAGGTTCAATCCATGTTACAGCATGGATCATAACCTCATTTCCTTTCTATGACTGAATAATACTCTGTTGTATCTCTTATCTGTGTTCACTTTGGTTGCTTGTGCTTTAGTTGACATATCTAGGATACCACTGCTAACCACAAAGTCATAAAGATTTGTACCTATGTATTCCATTGTATTGATTAATACCCATATAATGTAATTGAATTCATCCATTTATCAGTTGATGAACATTTGGGTTGCTTTTTTTTTTTTTAATACTATGAAGACTACTTCTATAAACATTAATGTTTACATGTTTGTGTGCACATATATTTTCATATATACTCTTGGGTATATACCTAGATATAGATTTGCTGGATCATATGTCAATTTTATGTTTAACTTCTTCAGGAGCTAACAAATTTTATACAGCAGTGATGCCAGCTTTACATTCATACCAGCAATGTTTCATTTTCTCCATATCCTTGCTGACATGTGTTATCTGATTTTTTTTTTATTGCAGTTTTCTTTCTTACATGTGAAATGTAGATCATTGAGGTTTGATTTGCATTTTTCTGATGACTAAAGATGTTGAACATTTCTTCCTGTACTTACTGGCCATTTGTGTATATTCTTTTTTTTTTTTTTTTTTTAATAGAGGCATGCTTTATTTATTTGTTTGCTGGTTTGTTTGTTTGTTTTGTTTATACATGCACTGGGTACAGTCAGAAGCGCGGGATGGTGAGAGAATTCACCAGAGCCAGAGCGGGGAGCAGAGCAGGCAGAAGGACCGAAGTACACTGCTGAGGGGAGCAGCGGGCGGCAGGAGAGGTCTGCACGCCATGTGGGACCCTCCTCCGGTGGCCGGGGAGCAGCCGGGGATCGAACCGGCGCCGCAGAGGCCGCGCGCAGCCTCGCAACCCAGCGCTCAACCGCTGCGCCACCGGGGAGGCCCCATTTGTGTATATTCTTTGAAGAGATGTCTATTAAAATCCTTTTCTCACTTTTTAATTGGGTCATTTGTTTTTCTACTGTTGAGTTGTAAGAGTACTTTATATATTGTAGACAGTAGAGCCTTATCAGATACATGATTTGCAAATATTCCCCCCCATTATGAGGGTTGTCTTTTACTTTCTTGATAGCTTCCTTTGATGGACAAAGTTTTTTTAATTTTGATGAAGTTAGCTTACCTGTTTTAATTTGGTTGCTTGTACTTTTAGTATAACATCTATGAAACCATTGTTAACCACAAGGTCATAAAGACTGATAGGTATGTTTTCTTCTAAGAATTTTATGGTCTTATGTCTTACATTTAGATCTTTGATCCATTTTAACTTAATTTTTGTATATGGTGTGTGGTTGTGGTACAACTTCACTTTTTATGTGATGGATATCTAATCCATTCTCCCAATACCAGTTTTTAAAAAGATTATTCTTTTCCCATTGAATGTTTTGGTGTCTTTATTCTAAATCAATTGACTATAAATGGACTCTCTATTCTATTTTATTGGTCTTTATATTTGTTCATATACCACTACCACACTGTCTTGATTACTATAGCTGTGTAGTAAGTTTTAAAATTCAGAAGTTCGAGTTCTCTAATTTTATTCTTTTTTAGGGTAATTTTTGCAAAAAAAAAATATCAGCTAGGAACTTGATATGAATTGCTGTGGATATGTAGATCAATTTGGGAAGTATTGTTAAATTAACAATATTAAGTCTCCCACTCCATGAACACAGATTATCTTTCCATTTATTTAGTTCTTCTTTCTCAAAATATTTTGTAGTTTTCAGTGGACAGATCTTGCACTTCTGTTAATGTATTCCTAAGTATTTTATTCCTTTTGATGCTAATATTTTGTTTTCTATTGTAATTTTGTTTTTGTTTTGTTTTTAAAGATTTATTTATTTATTTATTTATACAAGCACTGGGCACAGTCAGAAGTGCGGGAGGACGAGAGAATTCACCAGAGTCAGAGCAGGGAACAGAACAGGCAGACTGACGAAGTACACTGCTGAGGGGAGCAGCGGGCGGCAGGAGAGGTCTGTGCGCCATGTGGGAACCTCACCCAGTGGCCGGGGATCAAACCGGCACTGCAGAGGCTGCGTGCAGCTTTGCAACCAAGCGCTCAACCGCTGTGCCACTGAGGAGGCCTGTAATTTTGTTTGTGAATTGTTCATTGCCAGTGTATAGAAATACAATTGATTTTCGTGTATTGATCTTGGGCCCTGCAAACTTGTTGAACTTATTATTAATGCTAATAGATGGCTTCTGGGTTCTTCAGGATTTTCTATGTACAAGATCATGTCTTCTATAATTAGAGATAGTTTTGCTTCTTTCTTTTCAAAGTGGCTACCTTTCATTTCTTTTTCTTGCTTGAATGCCCTGGCTAGAACCTCCTGTATGATAATAAATAGAACTGGTGAAGGTCAGCATCCTTGTCTTGCTCTTGATCTTAGGGACAAAGGCTTATAGTATAACTATGGTGTTAACTATGGGTTTTTCTTAAGTGCCTTTATCACGTTGAGGAAGTTACTTTCTATTCCTAGTTTGAGTACTTTTTATCAAGAAAGGGTGCAAATTTTGTTGAGTGCTTTTTTTCCATTTCTATACAAGCTGAATATAGTTATTAGTATGAGACTAGAGTAATAGAAAAGCTACAAAGATGAATCCATTCTACTTCTTTGTTTTTTTAAAATGAGTCTTGGTTGTTCTAAAGCTTTATTATTTATTTATTTATATATACATACAGGAACTGGGGTTCAGGTCAGAAGCATGGGAGGGTGAGAGGATTCACCAGAGACAGAGTGGGTAGCAGAACAGGCAGACGGACCAAAGACACTGCTGAGGGGAGCAGCAGGCGAGGCAGGAGAGTTCTGCTGCGCCATGTGGATTCCTCCCTGGCCTCCTCAGCACTGCAGAGGCTGCGGATAGCTTCACAGCGAGGCGCTCAACCGCTGTGCCACCTGGGAGGTCCCCATTCTACTTCTTGAGATTTATTATTATTTCTATTTTGTTAAGATCTAAAGTTTTTACTTTTATATCTTCCAATAGGAGTAAAAAATTCAAGACAATAATTCATCTGAGAAGACCTGAAATTTAAGAACTATTTTAAATTTAAAATATTTATAAACAATTCTAAAGCTACTTGAGAACATCTAACTTATGATAATTTTGAAAGTCAGCCTTTATCTTGTAGATGGTAATTGGCTCCGCCAAGCTCAAGTCTAAGCTCAGAAACTACCAAACTAAGTCCATGTGATTTTTGGAATAAACCATTTCTCTTAGTTGCTTCAGTAGCTGAAACAAAATATCATTGATCTTGTAGCTTAAACAACGAAAATTTATTTCTCACAGTTCTAGAAGATAGGAAATCCAAGGGCAAGGTACTAGCTGATTCAGTTCCTTTTAAGAGTTCTCTTCTAGATTGCTGACAGCTGTCTTTCTTGCTATATTCATTTGGGAGGGGCGTTTGGAAGGAGGAGTGTAAGGGCATAATCCCCAGGGAAAGGGGAGATTCCAGGTTACCTGCTCTATCCTAACGATGGGTGGAGTAAGGCAGGAAGGAGAAGCTAGAGAAGATTGGGAGAAGTGGAGATGGGAAACAAGGAGACCAGGAGGTACATGGAACAGTAAGACATGTGAAGAAGCTGGTTGCTTCTAGGTCTTGGGTTTGTACCAGGAACTTGGGGAACATGGAAGGAAACACCTGAAGGAGACAAAGAGGTGGGAGAGAGACTCATGGGGAGGTTGGCAATGGCAGCCTTTACCTTGACTTGTATTTTGATTTTGCTCCATTGTCCCCAGACTTGCCTGGCCACTGCTGCCCCTTTCTTGTGGTTCCCCATCAGGAGGTGCCTTAGACATGTGGCAAGCTTTTGGTTCTTGGTGGCCCTGTTTTGGGTCAATCCTGTTTGACTGAGCATTTACCCACCAAAGGATAACTTTGGTGCTTCGTGGGGAAACTATTTTAACTATATTCTTTTTATTCTATAGATCACACACTAATTGTATTAAATACAATTTTCCATTGAAGGTCTTAACACTCTATGTTCTGTTTTATCTTGATGTGGCAAATGGCAGAACCTATTTAGAGCAGGCAGGTTTGGGGATTCCAGGGTACCCCTCACCCTGCCCTGTAACAGGCAGAGAATGGAGAGGAGGAGGAAGCGGAGGAGGGAGGATAGTATGCACACTCTGGTCTCTTATAAAGACACTACATACCATCATAAGGACCCGATCCTCATGACCTCATTTAAACATTACTCCCCATTTCCATATATCATTGAATTGGGGGTTAAGTTTTCAATACATGGATTTGGGGAGGGCACAATTCAGCCCATAGTACTATCTGGTTCTGAGTATTAAGCTATATTTGGACAGATTAAACTGATTACATGCAGGCAGGTTTAGAATTTTGTACATTATAGTAACAGGCAAAATGATGCTGTCTGGCAGACATCTAGAAAATAAGTGATAAGCATAGAGCCTTTAGAACTAGTGAAATTTGATGTAACTGGGTAAATTTATTGTTGACTCTTTTCAGTCATGTGGGAAAAAAAATGGTCATCTTCCAACTCACAAAGTCACAATGAAGATTAAAGAATTGTCATTATTACGGTTACTAGAGAGACCAGGCTCTAGCTGAACGAAAAAAAAAGTATTAAAAAATTAATTTTTTATCAAGCTTTTGTTGGGCTTTCCATTTTTTTTTTTTAAAGATTTATTTATTTATACAAGCACTGGGCACAGTCAAAAGCATGGGAGGGTGAGAGAATTCACCAGAGCGGGGAACAGAAGAGGCAGACAGACGAAATACATGGCTGAGGGGAGCAGCAGGTGGCAGGAGAGGTCTGTTGCACCATGTGGGACCCTCACTGGTGGCCAGGGATTGAACCGGCGCTGCAGAGGCTGCAGTCAGCTTTACAACCCAGCACTCAACCGCTGCACCACTGGGGGAGGCCAGGGCTTTCCGTTTTCTAAGAGAAAAATCACCTGTGGTTTGTGAGTCCTTTGAGCTACTTGAGCCATTCAAACATGATGAAGGCCCAGACTGGGAATCAGATGCAGATCTTGGGGGTCACTATTTTCTGTTTAGCTGGTGTTTTCAAATTTCTAGTACAGGTCTTGCTCCTGTCCAGAGTTTGGAGCCTTCTAGTCAATTACATATAACTGAATCTCTTGGACCAACATCTTTAAAGCCATCTTGTAAGCTCCAAAGGTTACTGGATGAAATATCTGCCCCATTTTGGTGAAACGAAGGCGTAGATGGCTCATACATATTCTGAGGTTTCTTTGCTTCTCTTTATCTCATATAGTTCTTGTGTTCTCAGAACTTCTCTGAATCTGAAAACATGTACTCTTCAGGATTCTCTAACCAGACATTATATTATCTGAAATAAGTAAAATATATTCAGGATTTTGCTTGTGACAGTCTTTCTGTTTTAGTTCCATTGTGATGTTTCAGTTTCACCTCCAACTTCAGAAAGCTCTTGTCTTGAAGCTTGGGTTCGGAATGGCAGCAACTTAAACAAGTCTGCTATATTTCAAAGAAAAAGTTTCAAGCTATTAAATTTAACTAACGGGTTCAGTGGGAACCTTACAATATTGACCCTGCACATTGTAAAATATGTACTGCTTACAATAAAAAAAAAATGGTTTAGCACTTGTTTACAATACAGCATGAGGTATTTTCAGCCCTTGTATAGAAATTAACCAGGATCGTTAGTTAATTAACACCTCACCTTAAAATTGGTCTCGCCTTGCATATTAGGTGTTGATATTTCTTGATGGATGATGAAGAGATTGCGAGCAAAGGTCATGAGGACCCCCTGGAGATCCTCACCGATTGTTCTGTTAATGATATCCAAACAAATGAGTTTACCAACGATTCCCCTCACATGCTTAAAAACAATCACCCTCTCATTTGTGCCTGTCTGGTGATGGAATTTAATGAGTATTTTCAATCTCACAAGGTGGCAATCTTCAGGGAGATATGAAAGATGAGGCTCCATTTTAACTTGTCAACAAAAAGGATTTGTGTAATAAATATTTTTTATTAATCAACTTAGCAGAATATAGGAATAGGTTCAGTCATTCCTAGCAAAAGGCTACCACTGAGCTAGGGTAGTTGTATTAGCCCATTTAAAAAATTGTTTGAATTCATTTAAGATAATTGTCGCTAAGTATAATTCATGCCTAACAATTGCCTTGTCTATAGAGACATTTTAGCTCAGTATTCTGGAGACTCTTATCTAGGTTTATTTTCTATTTCACATATATGAGTGATTTCTGCTACTTTTGGGTGCACCCTACCCTATTCATAAGTAAATATCCCCCCTTCAGGTACAGTTGTCTTTCATAAAGCTGAAGAAATACTTGAAGATTTCAGAGACATCTTGTAAACCAAGATATAGAATTATATTGTGGTTGGTGAAAATTCCCACCAATTTTAACCTGGAAGCAAAATTTCAGGGTATTTTTCTAGCTATTTTTGAACTTTTTTTTAATCAAAGGAAAAAATAGATTCAATGAATGGATTAATTAAAAAAATTGTTCTTTCCTGAGGGGGTAAAAGTAAAAGAGCTAGCTGCCCCTAGCTAGCTGTTAGCTGTGAAAAGCTTTGGGATTACTTTTTTCTCAGTTGTTACCTATAAAATAAGTCACCATAGAGCCTAAGGCTTAGACCTTTTTGGAATTACTGCCTCCTAGCCTGATGGGGTTTTCCCTTGGGTCAAGGTGGAAATGAAAGCTTCCCGAGTCAAAGACTGGAGACCAGGGCTCTTGTCCCTGCCGCTGACTTTGTAACTTCGAGTGTTACATATAAGCTTCCTGAGTCTTCATTTCTTAATCTCTGAAATGAAGGAAGTGAACTAGTTGTGTGTTTCCAAACCTTTTGATTTACATTCCCTAAATATATGCCGACCACATGCCTGCCACAATCTTATAACTACTAAACATTATTATCTCTTCTATTAAGAGAATAAATAATAGCCATAGGCAACTTTAGAATCAATAATTTTAAAAAGTGATTTGTGTTTTATAACCACGTGGTCACTGTGTATCAGACCCTGGGTATTTTTTAAGAGGACAGATTCTTAGGCTCCACCCTAGATCAACAAAATCAGAATCTTTGGGCTTGGGATCCAGGAATGTGTTGTTTCACCAACCCCCTACTCCACCCCCCCACCAGGTGATTCTTCTATATACTAAAGATTAAGACCCGTACTTAAAAAAAAGTTATAGATGTATGTGCACATGTGTGCTTGTGTGTGTGTGTGTGTGTGTGTGAGTGTGTGTGATGCTGAGTCCACACATGAATTCATGCTCCTCATGCCATCCTTCCTCAGTCTCCTGGGGTCTCTGGTGCCCAGGCTGGGAATCAAGAGGCTACATGAATGATAAGTCCCCTTTCCTATTAATTAATTCACTTCTAGAATTTCCTTCATTTCCCCTTTTTTGATTTTTCTCAAATTTCAGTATTCCCAGAAATATCCCAGTATACATGGAGTCAGTATAATGTTATCCTTGCAAACCCTTGTCATGGTATTATCATCTGTAAGGTTATCCCCTCTTGTAGGTATCATCTCACCTCTTCTGAAGAGGTGACCAACTGGTGTTCTTCATCCAATGTAACCTGGTTGCAATAAATGCAAACAAAACCTAGCCATCTTGTGAAAAGTGTCTTCTTAAAGCTCCAGAGAAAATCAAGCAATACAAAGAAGAAAAGTTTATATTTGCTCATCTTTTCTATTTCAATATGAGTTATAGAAAATGTAGATTGTCTCCTGGTCATTTTCTATTAAATTATCTATTCTTTTCTATTCTAACATTCTCTGGTTCTATGATTGCAGTAAGGTTTGAAAGTAAGATGGGATAGAAAGCAGTAGAAGGCTCTAGAGTCTTGCAGGCAGCCATGTCAATATTGCCTTATCTGTAGGATATATGTGTAGCAATAACCCTCTAGAAGGTACACCAGTTGGACTATTTCTATACCACTGAAGCTAACCTGCAGGTCAAGACTTTCTTACCTGAAATCTCAGGTGAGGTGTAGACACAGCTGGGTGGTTCCTCTTGATTACAAATATCATTACACATTCTGTAGGTTTCGGCATCAAATCAGCTAAATTCTTGGAGCATTTAATGATGGGGGTTTCCTTTTTTATATAACAGTTTATTTTTATATAACAGAATATTCTAAATTCTGTAATGATTTTCCTCTTGTTTGCTTACTCCATGCCTGAGCATCTTTCTGGATAAATCTTTTTGTGACCTATACCTCAGGAACTCTGCCTCTGCCCTGTTGACACTATCACTGTCTCATCTCATCAATTCTGTGATACAAGTCCTATCTCTGCATGTCAGCCTCTGCTGGGTTCTGTCACCTGCTGATGGGGTTTCTTCATGCCATCCTTTCTCTAGCTTGATAACCTCTGAGTTCCTATCATTCTGTGCCCCAACTTAGTCTTCAGGTTGTCCTTCTTTGTAACTAGAACTTTCCTGATGCTGTGAATTAGCTGCCTGTCAGAATGGCTCCAAGCACCTGAACTCCCAGGGCATGGGGCTTACTTGGCTACTCTTCTTTTCTTTCTGAAGGGCACATTCCCGTCCATCCTCACCCCCCACACATGAGTGTTTGTCTAATACCAGTGCTGACCCAACTTCTCCTTCGTAGTTTACCCTTTATGTTAGCCAGTGTAAGGCGGAGTTTATCTCTTTGTGTATTGATTTCTAGTTCTTGTAGTTCATGTCTTTGAATTCCTGAGCTTAAAAATGTATTTCAGCCTTGAATCTTACCTGCTTAATTAGACTCATAACACTGGAAAATATAAATTTCTTATCCTTCAGCCTGCCAACTTAAAATCTATCTGACTGCTTGGTTCTCCTAGTTCCAGTAACTGCCTGATGGCCTCTGTCCTGCTACAAGCTGGACATCAAAGCGACATGTTAGGAGTGAGTGGAATAGGACATTGTTCATCTCTGGTGTTAATGGCTACCAAACTGCTGTTCCCCTTCCTGGATTGCCAGCAGTTGACATGCTAGTCCACATTTACTCATTTATATATTACTGACTATCCATCCCAACTCACTGTCAGTTTCATGAGGGCAGGGACTTGTCTTTTGGTTCACTGCTGTATATGTAACACTTAGTGCTGTCCCTGGCACAGTTGATTAAATGCCTTTGAATTTTCTGATAGATAAGGATAGGGTAGAGAGGCAGCTGAGAGATAGAAAGAACATCACAAGGGAGCAGAGGGCAGGTCCTTCCCTGAACATGCCAGAGGTGTCCCTGGCTGTTATCATTCTGGATATGAATCTGGGCAGAGAAGATGAATGTATTTTTATTGGAATGATATGAATTACAGTTTCATTTATGTTGCTATCACTGCTATATAACAAAAGGGTGGGCAGGAGAGAGCCTAAAATGAAGGGTGCAGTAATTCTCTTAACATGACCCATATTTATGGACTTTTGGGGAAAGGTTGGGACTGGACAGGACAGCTCAAATAGCCAGCTTCTCCTCCCAACTGATGAAAAGTGTTTAAAACTGTAAGTACTAGATTAAATTATAGCCACATGCTAATTCCAAAGGGAAGGAAACCAAAATATTTGCATAAATTTAAATGATCCATGAAGCTAAATATCACTGTGTTAATGATGGCCTGCTATAACTGATAATGCTTTGGTAAAACAAGGCATGTATTTTGGATAAGGGAGTTGAGACCTGTCCTGTGCACGTCTTTGCTACTTTAATATATACCTCTTGGGATCAGTGTCTAGGAGACTGACCACCTGGGGGGAAACTGAGGCTGCTTAGAAACATCAATACTTAGTAGAATAATTGACTCGTTCATTTTTCATGAGATTGATCTTAGTGCATATGTGTGTTCAATGAGAGGACATGATGTCTACACTGCTGTGGAAGTTGTAAGAAAAGGAAATATAGGGGACAATTTCCCAATATGTTAGAATTACTTAAAGGTACCAAATAGCCATATTCCAGGATATTAAATAGGACACAATTCAAAAGTTCTGAGTCCTAGATGGGGATACCACTTTGCTAGCTCTCCAAAATTCTTTGGAGAGAAATTTGCAGGAAACAAAGCACTGAGAAGCTTCCTGAGTATGGTCACTATGTCTCTTCTCAGCATACTCCTATCTTGAAAAGATTGCATCAGGGCTGAAACTAGAGCCAGGGATGGTCTACAGACCCTGCTTTTTAGGGGAGCATCTTACCAAGTTATGAGGACACATCTTAAGCATGCCCTAGTGGAAACTGCCTTCAACAACTGGGACATCTGAGCTGGTTTTTCATCAGTCACATTTGCTGGGCTTTGTATGTGTATGTGTCAGAGTGTAATATGTTGTTAAAACTAGTCTCTTACCTATCCATTTTGGATAATTAATCAGTTATATTTATGAACCCCCATTGACATGTCTAAAGTCATTTTATGAAATACTTGAAGATCTAAATAAAACAAGATAGAGTTCCAATAAATCAGCATGCTGATTAAAATGCATGAGAAGCACCATTCTTGTTAGTTGTTATAAGTCTGTTTTCTTAGCTTATTGCATCTCATAGACACATTTCATACTTACAGCATTCCCAGCTTATCTCTCTTCAGGTGTTCATATAATATAAAAACAGTTCCTTGTCTGCCCTATAAAATTTGAATGGGGAGAAAAAAAATAGTCTGTATCTTAGAAATGAAGTATAAGAAATGTGTTACGCTAAGACCGCGATTAGAAATCTGGAGCTACCTGCAACAATTGTGAGAAACCTGTTTAGAAAGACTACCTTTAGGAGAGGGTTTTGATTTGTTTGAGGATAGTGTTTTTTGAAGTGTGATTCTTGAACACCTGCATCAGAATCATCTTGTATGCTTAGTAAAAGGAATTTTCATGGGCATCATCAAAGCTCAGGCTCTGCCTTTTAAAGCTCACTTCCTGGGTGATTCTCATGCACATCAAAAATTGAAAACCACTATTTTAAATGGGTTGGGCAATGAGTAAAAAAATATACAGGGAAGCAGTTTGTTGTGTAGAAACTAATTTGTACATCAATGGAAACCTGTGTTGTCTGCAGAATGTCTGATTGTCTTGATTTTATGGGAGATATTTTGCAACTCTACAAGTGGTAGGTGCTTCAGAAACAAGCAAGTTCTGATCAGTCTGTTTGAGGTTCCATAGATTTTCTTCCCTTTCACTCTTGTGGAGGAACCAGTTTTGCTTCTATTTGCATATTCATTTCAATATTCCTGACCTATATAGATATCTGGTGGGTATTTTTTTGGAGGGGGGAATTCTTTTTCGTACTGTTTGTGACATCTACCTAATTCTCTCATCAATACAATCTTTATCATTTATTTATTCTTTTTTCCTTATAAGAGGCATGGTTTTATTCTTTTTGGAAGATGATCTGTTAACACTTTTCTCCAATAACTAAAAATTAACACTGAAATTATACAGTAATGGAAATGGCTGCCTTGTGAAGTTGAGAAGTCCTTATCACTGAAAGTCCAAAAGAGAAAACCATATTTTTGAGATTGGGTGAAAGAAATTACATGTCAGCATTATGATTGTCCATTTTTATCAGAAAATGCAGGCATTAGGATAAACATTGCACTGGAACAGTGGCTCTCATTGCTGGCTGCATATTAGAGTCATCTGCATGCTTTAAAAAATATAATGCCTGGGGGCCTCCCCGGTGGCGCAGCGGTTGAGCGCTGGGTTGCGAGGCTGCTCGCAGCCTCTGCAGTGCCAGTTCGATCCCCGGCTGCTCCCCGGCCACCGGAGGAGGGTCCCACGTGGCGCGCAGACCTCTCCTGCCACCTGCTGCTCCCCTCAGCGGTGTACTTCGGTCCTTCTGCCTGCTCTGCTCCCGGCTCTGGCTCTGGTGAATTCTCTCACCCTCCCGCGCTTCTGACTGTACCCAGTGCTTGTATAAATAAATAAATAAATCTTTAAAAAAAAAAAAATATAATGCCTGGGCCTCCCCTGGTGGCGCAGCGGTTGAGCTCTGGGCTGCGAGGCTGCCCGCAGCCTCTGCAGCTCTGGTTCGTTCACCAGCCACTGGCGAGGGTCCCACAAAAAATAAATAAATAAAAAATAATGCCTGGTCCTTCCTCCAGAAATTCTGGTTTAATTGATCTGGAGTGGGCCCCAGATACAGGGCCACGCTGAGCTGTACTGGAGCTTGAGGCAAAGGGGAAAGATTCAGTATGTTTTTATTTAAAATTTTGATATTTTGTTCTTCATGGGTTTATGCATAATATTTTTTAAATTATTTAAATTTTTTAAATATTGCATCATGATACTTATTTTACTGTTGAGTACTTTTTGTGCTCCTTTAAATTTTATGCTCTGAATAAGTGACTCACTTGCTTCACCCTAATGCCTTTTTTTTTAAATTAATTAATTTATTTTTTTAATAGAGGCATGCTTTATTTATTTGTTTGCTGGTTTGTTTTGTTTATACATGCACTGGGTACAGTCAGAAGCGCGGGAGGGTGAGAGAATTCACCAGAGCCAGAGCGGGGAGCAGAGCAGGCAGAAGGACCGAAGTACACTGCTGAGGGGAGCAGCGGGCGGCAGGAGAGGTCTGCGTGCCATGTGGGACCCTCCTCTGGTGGCCGGGGAGCAGCCGGGGATCGAACCGGCGCCGCAGAGGCCGCGGGCAGCTTCGCAACCCAGCGCTCAACCGCTGCGCCACTGGGGAGGCCCTTCACCCTAATGCCTTTTAAAGCTCCTCTCTCGGGTCATTCTAATGCGTAGCCAGGGTTGAGAACCACTGACTGGTTGATCTGTAAGGTGTGTTGTATTTCCTCATGGCCCTAATATGGTAGCTACTAACCATATGGGTCTACTGAGAACTTGAATTATAGGGAACTTAAATTGAAATTACCAAAAAAGAGAACATATCTCATTAATAATTTTTATATTGATTACATATTGAAATTATAATATTTTGGACCTACCGTGTTAGGTAGAATATATCATTAAAATGAATTTCTCCTGTTTTGTTTACTTTTTAAAAATACCTCTCCCAGAAAAATTCTATCTGTGCCTCACATTTGTGATTTGCATTATATTTCTATCAGACCACTGTCTGGTATTCTAGGGCTCTATTGTTAATACAAGTATAGAAAGTAACTTTCAACAAGTAACTCCTATTTCAAAATTTTATATCTCCCTTTGTTAAAACAGTTCAGTATTGAAGGAGTGAATCATCTCCATAATCTCCATATCAGAACATGTTCATAGATATTTTATTCCTAGGTATCTGTGGACATTTATTGATTTTTTTTCCCTCTGGAACTAGAATTCTTGGCTGATAGGGTTGTAGTCATTGTTTTCTTATTTCAGTGCAGCAGGTCTATGGATAATGTTTCCTAATAATGTTGATGAGAACAAAACAATCCTGGCTGACCTTTAAGGAACCAACCAAAGTTATTCACTTTATGTTTCACTTAAAGTTGCAGTTTCTGAGAACCTATCAATGATGTTAGGTGATACTACTTTAGTTTTTTCTTTATAAATTATGTGTATTGAAGTAGATTTACATCTCTGTATCTGTTCCAGGGGTTACAGTTTCTATAAATGTGTACTTTCACACCCTGCCAACCACCAGTGCTCCAACAATCCTCCATCATGTTTCATTGGGCCCCCCCCTCCCCTGCTCCCACCTTGCCTGGGAGCCTAGTTGCCTCCATTTTGAGACACATATTGAGTTTATTTTATTTTTTTAAGATTTTATTTATTTATTTATACAAGAACCAGGGTACAGGCCAGATGTGTGGGAGGGTGAGAGGATTCACCAGAGACAGAGTGGGGAACAGAACAGGCAGACTGACGAAATACACTGCTGAGGGGAGCAGCGGGTGAGACAGAAGAGGTCTGTCGTGCCTTGTGGGGCCCTCGCAGCCAGCCGGGATCAAACCCACGCTGCAGAGGCTGCAGACAGCTTCACAGCACGGCACTCAACCGCCTGCGCCACCAAGGGAGGACCATGTTGAGTTTATTATTGGTTTGGTTTTGACTGACCCTTTGTTATGTTTCTCTATATTCTACATATAAGTGAGATCATCCTGTATTTGTCTTTCCCCTTCTGGTTTATTTTGCTTAGCATTATCCTCTCCAGTTCCATCCATGTTGTATCAAACAGCAGGAGCCCATCCCTTTTTATAGTTGAGTAGGATTCCATTATATATATATATATATATATATATATATATATATATATATCACTTTTTTCAGATATACTCCTCTGTCCTTGGGCACTTCGGCTGTTTCCATAACATCTATTTTATGTGTAGGCTGCAAGGGATATAGGAGTACATATATCCCTTCAAATTTGTATTTTTATATTCTTCAAGTAGATACCTATGTGTGAAATTGCTGGGTAATATGGCAGATCCACTTTTAAGATTTTGAGAAACCTTCATTATATTTACTGCAGGGGCTGGACCAGTCTGCATTCCCACCAACAGTGTATGAGGGTTCCTTTCATTCCACAACCTCACCAACCTTTTGTTTCTGGTCTTTTTGATATGGGCCATATCATATGAGGTGGTATCTCTTAGTAGTTTTGATTCGCATTTCTCTGATGATAAGTGATGATGAGCATTTTTTCATGTGCCTATCAGCCATCTGTATGTCTTCTTTGGAGAAATATCTGTTAGCTCTTCTGCCCATTTTTTGACTGAGTTAATTGTTTTCTTACTGTACTTTAAGATTGTGACCCCCATCTTCTAGTTTTCATAGATTCTGCTGAAAAATCGACTGTTAATGTTCCTGTGAAGGTGATGTGCCTTTTTTCCCCCTTGTAACTACTTTTAAGATTTTCCTTTTCTTTTTCGTATTTAGCTATATAACTATAGAATGTCCACATGTGATTTTACTTCTATATATCTTACCTGGGGTTTCTAGTACTTCTTGAGGCTATGTGTTTGTTGTCTTTTACCAATTTTAGAAAATTCTCAGCCAGTATTTATTTTAAAATGTCTTCTCTGTTCCTCCCAGGACAGTTTTTCCAATTATTTCTGGGACATCTTTACCAAATATTTCACGAATGTATAACATGGATCATCACCCCTTAACAATTTCCATTAACAATTTCCTTGCCACTCATTGCCTGATCACTAAGCCAATACCAAAATTTAGGCTTCTGTTTTGGGAGCATCCTTTCCTTTGTACTAATTTCTGAATCAAGTAGGTAGGTTATGTTGCAGTAATTAAAAACAAAACAATTCTTAGTTGTTTATAACAACAAAAATATGCTTCTTGCTCATACTCCACTTCCCACATGGGTTGGCTGGTCACTGTTGGCTGGTTCACTCTGGAACTTAGGCTGAAGGAGGCTCTGTCTCAGAGTGCTTCAAGGATTTCCAAGCAGGAAAAAGGATGTGGTAACTCAAAAATGACTGTTTAAGGCTCCTGCATAGGAAGAACATATATCAGTACTGCTCATATTTCATTGGCCAAAGCAAGTTACATGGCCATGCCAAACTTCAGGGGAGTGCTGAGGGAGTATAATTCTGTTATGTGTCATGGCAATCCCCTGATCTGAGGAAATGAAGGCTGGTGGGGTGAAGCTATTTAGGAACATGGCACACTACCTATAAATATGTGAAACCAGCCTTGCCTCACACTGTTGTAGGCAATAAGCAAGACATCCTTCTCCATATGGCTTTCATTACAAGGTATTTCATTAGGAAATTAGTGGTATTTCTGGAGCATTACAGAAATACCAAGAATGAGACCCACCGAGTTGCTTACAAATTCAGCAATGTTTCCATCCAATATCCAGCAAGGAAATAATAAACTCATAGGGTGATCTCATTTCCCTATCTTTCCCATCTTCCCCCAAAATTTTGTATGAGAAATGTATTTTGAAATTTGGTAATGGCAATAGGAAAAAAAACTTCATATTGAGAATTAAAGACTTTTGAGGATTCTTTTTTAGGTCGCATTGATAATGATTTATTGTTAATGTTGCTTTATTCTGGAAGGAGCACTCACATTAAATTTGACCAAGAGTGGGATCATGTAGCAAGGTTACACTGGAATTAGGGTAAATAAGCTCCATTTTAGATGCAGCACAACTCAAGGAGGCAATAAAAGTTTAGGGAAATTAATTGTTAAGCATATCTTTTTTCCCCTATATAAGATAGTTGTGGGGGGGTGTTATGGAGAAGTTTATTTTCCTTCAGCTGTAAAATAGTTAAGGGATACCTAAATAGAATATTCTTCTTGAAATCAATCTCAGAATTCTTGGATTGGGTTGGTAATGTTTTAGAAATATGTGCAGTTAGTGGGAGATAGTTCTTAGATGGTTTCTGGGGAATGCCTTTGTATAAGAGAGAGAATCATGTTTGGCTTTATGGACAAATATGGATTCAAATGTCAGTTCTGCAAAGTGCCTGTGTGATCTTGGGAAACAGCTTTAACTCTTTGAGCCTAAGTCCCAGAAATAATAGCAGATATAATAGCTTCTTATAGGAGAGATATGAAGATTAAAGAGGAGAGGCAGTAACAGTGCTTAGCTCAGCACGAGCACATAGTAGGTATTCCATAAATGCTGGTTCATCAACCCCCTCTCCAAGAAAAGGCAATTTAAAGAACAACTGGAGTGTTATGTCCAGGGCTGGACCCCCAGGTTTGAAAAGATGAAAGCCCATCTCAACAAAAATAGAGTAAGGGTATTTTTGGAGAATTCCCAGTTTTCTTAAGTGATCACATGACTCCTGCTTCTGACCTCAGACTTTTATGATCCATTTTTTCTTTGATCTCTCTCTCTCTCATTCTATGCTTTCATTGCTTTTTTTCTTTGTTTATCCCCTCCTTTTTTTTTCAGGGTTCTTCCAGTCTCTGGATTTTATCCTCTTTCTCCTGTTCCTTTTTTTCATATTATTCCATCACTTCATTGCCACCCTAACCCATAATTGTCTTTCTCTGCCATTTTATCTCTCATCCTTTGTAAGTGGTTTAGCACAGGTGACCTGGAGGCAGTCTGGGAATCCATGCCGGCTCTCTTTGGTGCCTTTCCGTCTGCCCCTTTCTGTAGCCCTCCTCGTCCTCAGTGGAACCCCTCCTTTTACATCATCTGCTGTTTCCCTTGGGCAAGAGCAGTCTGTTGTCCATATTAAAATTTGTTTTTAGAAATGAATCCAATCAACCCTGAGCTACAAAGCTGTAAATAACTTAAAAATTCTGTGCTTTCTTTTCCCCAGAAATACTAGAACTTCAATGATGTACAGAACCTTTAGCCAAAGATTTTTAATAATTATAGGCAAAAGAAAGTTATGAAGCAGGTTTTCTTTTGGGAAGGAAACTTTTCCCACCAATTATGCTGGTTCACAGAGTTTTTTATGCTTTAATATTTTATAATAAAATAAAATAAATAGATATGGAAAAAAACTAGAGTTAGAGATAGCCACTTTCTGGTACATGGAAGTGTTTTAGCCTAATCAGTTTGGGGCTAAAAACTATTTAATTCTAAAGGGATTATGTCGAGCAGATGCAACAATTAATTTCTGGTAAATTGGTTTAATCTGTTTTTTTTTCAGTCTCTTTCTCTGTTTTACCAATTTTGATATAATTTGCAAGGGAATTTGAGCTCTATTATACATATTTGCAAACTGCATGAACCAATCTAACCAAAAGGCCTCATGTACCCTCACGGTGCCCTGCAGTGTGGTGGGGACTGCCAACTGTCAGTCAGGCCATTCTGTTCATTGTTGGCCCTGTACCCCATGCTATCTGCTTTTCAAAGGCCTCTAAAAAGATTTGATTCCTGAAAATTTCTTTTCTCAAGTGTGAAAAATAAAAATGAGCAAATGTAGAATCTGTTATCTACAAATCAAAATAATCGGATTAATTGGTTATTGTTTAGTAGTTATGTTACTGCATATAAATTAAATTTAATGTGAGAGGTAAATATATTTTAATATATTTTTTTAAATATAGAAGCAATATTATTCACACTGGCCAAGATTATTATTATTATTATTTTATTTATTTATTTATTCATTCATTTATTTATTTATTTATTTTATTTGTTTGTTTTGTTTATACAAGCACTGGGTACAGTCAGAAGCATGGGAGGGTGAGAGAATTCACCAGAGCCAGAGCGGGGAGCAGAGCAGGCAGAAGGACCGAAGTGCACTGCTGAGGGGAGCAGTGGGCGGCAGGAGAGGTCTGCACGCCATGTGGGACCCTCCTCCGGGGGCCGGGGAGCAGCCGGGGATCGAACCGGCCCTGCAGAGGCCGCGGGCAGCTTCGCAACCCAGCGCTCAACCACTGCGCCACCGGGGAGGCCCTATTATTATTATTTTTTAAAGATTTATTTATTTATTTACACAAGCACTGGGTAGAGTCAGAAGCGCGGGAAGGTGAGAGAATTCACCAGAGCCAGAGCAGGGAGCAGAGCAGAGCAGGCAGAAGTACACTGCTGAGGGGAGCAGCGGGCGGCAGGAGAGGTCTGAGCGCCATGTGGGACCCTCCTCTGGTGGCCGGGGAGCAGCTGGGGATCAAACCCTAGCTGCAGAGGCTGCGCGGGCAGCTTTGCAACCCAGCTCTCAACCGCTGCACCACCTGGGAGGCCCTATTTTAATATTTTTGATGTGATGTGGATTGGGTCTTCCACAAGTAAGAATGCCTGGGGTCACTTCTTAAGATATCCCTGTAGGTCAGAGATTTGAGTAACTGAATCAAAGTGAAAAAAGACACGAAACTATTTCCCTGAGTAACAATTCTCAAGGCACAATTAGAACTTCTAATTTAGGTAGGAGAAATTACACCCCAATTGTACTATTCAGCTACAGGGTGATCAATATTATTGGAAATAGACCAAAAATTGTGAAAACTTTTTACCAGAACTCCTGCTAGAAAGAGACTACTATATGTGGGTGGGAGGATGCTGTGGACTGAATTGTGTTTTCCCAAATTCATATGTGGAAGCTCTAATGCCCCATGTGCATTGGGAATAGAGCCTTTAAGGTGATTAAGGTTAAATGGGGTCATAAATGTGGAGCCCTGCTTGGATAGAACTGATGTCTTTAGAAAAGATGTTATACAGACACCAGAGCTCTCTTTCTTTTCCCCTGCCCCTACCCCACATTAGGACATGGAGAAAAGGCAACTATCTGCAAGCCAGGAATAGCGCTCTCATCAGGAACTGAATTGACCGGCACCTTCACTTTGGACTTGCAGGTTCCAGAACTGTGAGAAACCACTATGGTATTTTGTTATGGCAGAATGAGACAGTTTGTTCACTGACAAGCAGCTTTGTGTGGGGTCAGTTGCTGAGGAAATGCTTAAGGATCAAGAGATGGGCCCCAAAATGTCCCCAAAGTTTGGTAGGGCTTTTGCTTTAACCAAGGTGGGGTGTGCAAGTTTGGGGACAGAGCTCAATTTCTGAGGAGTAAGTGCTATCTCCATGGAGCTGACTTTGTCCTTCCTCAAGCAGTACTCAGCTTTCCTCTAAATACATGTCAAGCTAATGTTTAACGAATATCTGTTTGAAAATCATTTTTTAGACTCTAAGACTAGTGGTTACCGTAAGGGAGGGGGGAATGGCTAAGTTGGGTAAAAGGGGTCCATTGTATGGTGAGGAAAAGAATTGAATTTTTAGTGGTGAACTTAATGTGCCATATACACATGTTGATTTTTAATGGTGCACCTGAAACTTGTATGTTACAGTGCAATGTTACTTCAATTAAAAAAATATTATCTTGAAGGGGCACCAAATTATTAGCTCCCTAGGTCACCCACATGCATATTTTTGGTCCATCCCTGACCAGCTGTCACTCTTCTTACCTCAATGTCATAGCCAATGCCATGCGCCTTACACATCTGGAGAAAAACATAATGGAAAACCAGAGAGAGATTGCTGTGTTTCAGCTGGGTGGTCATCACTGCATAGCGACTGGTGGCCAACTGGAAAAGATTACAACTGAATGTCAGACTTTTATCAAATGTTGAAATAACTTTAATATTAGAATAAAGTTGTGAAGATTATACAGTGAATTCCTGTATATCCCACCCAGTACCCCTATTGTCACAACTAAGGAACCAAGTTGCTACATTCTGATTAACTACAGTTCATAGTTTATTTGGATTTCGGTCGTTTTTCCCTAACTCCCCTTTTCTGTTCCAGGATCCTAGTCAGGATATACATTATATTAGTCATCATGTTTCCTTAGTTTCTTTTAGGCTGCAAAAGATTCTCAGAATTTTATTTTTGATGATCTTGACAGTTTTGAGGAGTGCTGATTGGGTGTTTTGTAGAATGTCTCTCAGTTTCTTTTTCTCAGGATTAGACTGGGGTAGTGTTTTTGAGAGAAAGACTGTATAAGTAAATATTTCATAACCTGTGTCAAAAGTACATGTATTGGGTCTCCCCGGTGGCGCAGTGGTTGAGCGCTGGGTTGCGAAGCTGCCCGAAGCCTCCGCAGTGCCGGTTCGATCCCCGGTTGCTCCCCGGCCACCGGAGGAGGGTCCCACATGGTGCGCAGACCTCTCCTGCCACCCGCTGCTCCCCTCAGCAGTGTACCTCGGTCCCTCTGCCTGCTCTGCTCCCTGCTCACCCTCCCGCGCTTCTGACTGTACCCAGTGCTTGTATAAATAAATAAATAAATCTTTTAAAAAAAAAAAAAAGTACATGTATTAACATGACTTATCCCTGATGCCAAATGTGGTCACCATGTTAAGATGACTTTACTGTAAAGATACTTTTCTTCCTTTCCATATTGTGCTTTTTTGAAGCAAGTAACTAAATATAGTCTACCTTCTTGAGGGGACCAATATCAGAATTTTTACTCTGTTTCTTCATTTGAGAAATTGCTATTCTTTATCTTGCTTGCATATCAGTGGGAGTTATTCCAAAGGGATTCAGCATAGACCCAAAATATTTCAATTATAATATGTATATTAAAAAAAAACCACCAAACACCATAACTTTAATGTGTACCAAAGAAAGCATTTGGATTCTAGCAGTTTTGTGACACATCCTTTGTGAGATGTGATATTTGCCTTGTTTGTCCTTGGATAACTAGAAATTTGGAGAATGCCATATAAGGTCATAGGGCATAGAAAACGAAGGTGCTTGACCCAGACTTTGAACTTTAGGGACCCTCAGGTGCTGGGCAACCTGGGGCCTGTACTTGTGAAGTCAATTGGAACAGGAGGAGGACCAGAGCTGGTTGCAGGGATCAGAATGATCTGACATTATTGTCAGAGCTCAGACTCCATTTCTGCAATAACACAGGTGACCTAGGGCTGATTGAGTGAGGGCCTAGTGGGCAATGAACACCCTTTTTCTCCTGCATCACATATATGTACACACACACGCACACACACAGATAGACATGCACACATATACCCAGGCTTCATGTTCACCGTTTGTGAAATATGTTTTCTTTCAAGTACCAATTTGTATCAAGTACTATATCTGGTGGTCATGTTATCAGTATGATTAACTAAGCCTGCTTTTGCCACATGTAAGCAAGTCCACATCTACTAGAAATATTAGGCTCCCACAGGCCAATGTAGTTTGAGTTGTATATTTCCTAAGTGTTGTCTCATTTGTGGCATTGGGAATTTTGGTTTTGTAAAAGAAAAGCTATTGGACCCTCATCTGCCTCACAATTGTACTTAATCACCTTGGCCTATCAAGAGTTTTCCCTGGCTGCCTTTCTTACATGATTGGGGCTTTCTGAAAGCAGGTACTGTTTGGTTTCTGAATTCCCAGACTGGTCATTATGCTAGCACCAAACAGATATTCCAGTGTTTTTTGAATGAAAGAAAGAATGGATACATGAAATAGAGTAAGTGGATAACACTTGCCTCTGACTTAAATTAATTTTTAAAAATTCATGGGACTTCTAGTCAATTAATACTTTGAGGTAGAAATAAGTGTCTCATAAAGCACAGAGGATGGTCACACCATCTCTTGGGAATGACAACTCAAGGCAAACATTCCAGGCCTGGCCCCCTCATAGAGCACCTTTTGGAGCACAGTATGGTTCTGGTGGACTTGGCAGGAATTATTGGTGGGGTAACAGGAACAAGCTAAATGAAGTTCTGGCTCAGTTGATCAGTCAGTTTGGATGGACAAGGACACCAGCCTACTCATTCTGCCACACCAGACCATGCCATGTTCCAGCCTTCCCAACCAAGGCCGAGAAGCCTAAGCTTTGTATACAAAAGTGAACTGTAAATACTCTGGAATTACATTGTAGTTACTGAGCATGTAATTGCATGGTAATTACCATGAATTCACAAGATAATTCCAAGGTTATTTTTGTCCTCTAAACTTGTCTTATGCTGCTATCGTATATAAACAAGCAATACTAAGATCATGCTCCAGTCAGCGAGGGAAAGCAGAAGGCAGGCATTTGGCTCAATGCAGGATCTGGCTCAATGCTATGTAACTTGGCTTCAAAGCAAGGCAGAAGAGCTCACTCTCTAGTCTTACTGGACAGCAAGTAAATGCAGGCTGCACTGAGGTTTATTCTTTTCTGTGGAGACAAACTGCATTTTCCCTCCTCCTAGACCTGGGCCTATGATTCATAAAGAATCTGAAAGAAAATCCAGAATATTTGTTAATATATCTCCAAACTGCCTCTTCTTTTCCATAACTATCACCATCCTAGTCCAGGCCTTTGTTGTCTAGATTTTTCTTTCCTACTTAGGAGGTGAGGAAGCAAGCAGAATTCAGCTGTGCAAAGCTTATATTGAGTCAGAAAGACTGAGATTCAAAACCTGACTGAGGCATTTACTATATGTAGGATTTTGAATATACTATTTAACTTCTCTGAAACTTCTGATTATTAAGAAAAATTAGCACAGCACCTGCACCTGAATAACCAGAAGCTACTATTTTTGTGATGGTTTCTTTGAAAGTATCTATAGGGTTGAAAAGCATCTGAAAGCATTTTTGGCCTACAACAGAATTTCCCATGCTGTTCCTTCCCCAACACCTTCCTGGGGTTCTGAACATTACCACCAGGTTAACTGTTTCTGGAACCCAGTTGGTCAATGCTTAGAACACTTCAGTGATGTCTCCTTGCCCTCAGAATGAAATTCAGACACATGGCATGGTGAGCAGATTTGCCTGAACTTGCTCAGTACACAGCTCCAACTCTTGTCCCACTCTCTCTCTCCCAGATTCTCTGCCCCAGCTCAATTGGTTCATTACATCACCTAATAGACCTGGGTTCTCTCCCTTCTGGTGGGGAAGAGCTCCCCCTCCTTGCTTTTTATTGACTGCCCGGATCTTTAAGACCAGACCAAACTCTGTGTTCTTGTTCAAGTCCCCTGGCTCTGCCAGCCACAGTTGTTTCTTCTAAGACTTTTAGCAGCAGGTTGAGGAGCTATCACTCAAATAATTGTGTGGTTTTTCCTTGTGAACATGCTGCTTATTTTATATTCCTTTTCAACTCCTTGAGGACAGGGACTTTATCAAATGTTTCTATATCCCTGATGCTTGGTGTTTTTCCTGACATACATGAAGTGTTTATTAAATGTGTTATAATAATGCTAATAAACATGAACCTGTAAGATACACCAATTTTTTTTTAGACTTAATTCTCATTTCTACAGGAAAAAAATCCTCACTATCTATGGTTGTCTTTCATCCAATCCAACAGCACAGGTGATGATATTGTTGTGAGGATGACTACATAAAAATGTTGAAACAATGTCTAGCACAGAGTAAGTTCTTAAAAACGTTAGCTCTTATTAACATCTATTAAACTAAATAATTTCACAAATAAATATTTAAAATGAAAAATGATCAACCAACCATAAATCATTACATCAGAAAGGGACAAAATCACAAGACCTGGGCCTTGCTGCTTAACTTTATGACCTTGGGCAGATCACCTTATTTTGCATTACCTCGGTTTCCTGATTTGTAAAATGGGTATGATAATCCCTATCTTATTTATTTCTTGAGGTTATCATAGGGATTAAATAATCTCATGCTTATTTTTTAAATGATTTATTCATTTATGCATATAAGAATTGGGGTACAGTCCAGAGGTGCAGGGGTGAGAGGATTAACCAGGGACAGAGTGGGGAGCAGAACAGGTGGATGAGACAGGAGAGATCATCTCCTTGGCCCCTGGAGGATTGAACTCATGCTGCAGTGGCTGTAGATAGCTTCATAAATGCTGTAACTTAACCCCTTGTGCTACCAGGCAGGCTCTCTAATGCCTATTTAAAGTATTAATAGTATAAAGCATTATACAAATAGAAAATATCATTTTAAAAGGGTCGATTAGTGTAATTGACTCTTTTCTGATGCTGTAAAATCCATTTAAGTTTCCCAAGGAAGTCATAACTGAAATGGGTTTTACATCATCAAAAGACTCCTCCACAACCATCTGGCCCATTCAGTGCTCAATGAGTCTCAGCCTAACACAGAGCAGATTCCATATGGTAATATGTCTGGAAACATATTAGGGCAAGGAGGCAAAGAGTCGTCACTGAAGTGTTCTGAGCATTGACCAACTGGGTTCCAGAAACAGTTAATCTGATGGACTTTCTCTGTGGCTTCAACTAGAGACTTTAGGTATGAGCCTAAGTTCCACTCTGGAGCTGGATCATTGATTTTCAGTCAACACAGACAGATTGGATAACACAGTGGCCAAACACAAGTTTTAAAGTTTGACACACCTAGGCTTAAATCCTGGCTTCCACACTTGCTTGCTGAGGGATTTCCTACAAGCTGCTTAACATTGCTTATCCTTTATCTAAAAATGAACATAATAGGGGCCTCCCCGGTGGCGCAGCGGTTGAGCGCTGGGTTGCGAAGCTGCCCGCGGCCTCTGCGGCGCCGGTTCGATCCCCGGCTGCTCCCCGGCCACCGGAGGAGGGTCCCACATGGCGTGCAGACTTCTCCTGCCGCCCGCTGCTCCCCTCAGCAGTGTACTTCGGTCCTTCTGCCTGCTCTGCTCCCCGCTCTGGCTCTGGTGAATTCTCTCACCCTCCCGCGCTTCTGACTGTACCCAGTGCATGTATAAACAAAACAAACAAACCAGCAAACAAATAAATAAAGCATGCCTCTATAAAAAAAAAAAAAAATTAAAAAAAAAAAAAATGAACATAATAACAGCACCTGCCTAATCTATTGGGATGTACAACAACAATATAAAGCACTTAGTGGAAGTGTCTGGAATGGAGAATAAATTTGATACATTTTGGGTATTCTTATCATATTATTATATGCATTATAGTAAGCGTCTGGCCTATCTGTGTCTGTTGATAAACTTGGAGTTCTTTGCTACTTATTCTTATACCTACTGTTCTTAGTAGAGTGGCTGACACAAAGTAGGTGTTGAGTAAATAAATACTGCTGAATTTACTTCTAGTTGGCTATTATGGAAAGTATTATGATGGCAGATGAGGACTTGCTAAAAGAATCTATAAGCAAAAGATGTTCCCTTTCCTAGCACCCTACTGTACTTGAGGCTTCCTAGGCCAGGCTTGGTATAGAGTCTATTCTACGTCTCCATAAAATAAAATCCCTCAAGAGAACTTGAGGGTCATTTAGTACTCCCTCATTCTGCAAATGAGGAAACTGAGATCAACATTCACCACCTCTGATTTCTGGAACAATGCTCTTTACTCCAAATTCCTATTTGTCACATTTGGAATGTGTGGGAATCTCAAAAGTTATCCTTTTTTAGCAAAACAGAGGGGGAAAAAATAGAAGACAAAATATTATTGGGAGAAGTCTAGTCTTATTAAACTACCTTTCTAAATCACAATCTAACAAGAATGCTTCAAGTCAAATAAAGGAAGCTTGAAATACTCCTTTTCACTGGAGAATATAATTTTGCTTCTGCCACAATTTAAATTGATTTAGTTCTGAGCACCAGCACTTGAAGTGTGGAGCATATTCTATTTTCGCCATGATACTTGTTTTGACAGTGATGCATTTCAGTTGACATAGTTGAAATCCTTATGTAATAAATCTCTGCCTGAAAATTAATCATGTTTATAATATTCTGAGAATTAATAACACCCATTGCTCAAATCATTAACTTAAAAAAGGAGCTTCCAAAATCTGTTCTCGGCAGTAAGGGACCACAAATAAATGAATGTTTGATAAAATAATCCAAGTAGCAGTTTAACAAGCGTAAACTTGAATGTGGTTGCAATAACACAGAACTATTGTTTAAGGGTTGGCAGAGGCTGATGAGGTTCTTATTTCAGTTAGGAAGCAGGCATCCACATGCATAATGAACTGCTCTCTGAATTATTAATGTGTTGCTTATTTAGCCTCATCTGTCTGGAAGATAATGTATCCTAACTCTAATGAGTGATTGGTTTTGTACATAATTACAGTAGCAGCAGTAGCGGAAAAATGTGTGCCTTCAAAGAAGGAGTTCTAAAAATAAAGTCATCACATAAACTCTGTTGTTGCATTCTATCAAAATCAAACCCGAAGCATTTGAGAATTCATAATAAATTACAGGAGACAGAATCATTATTAACATCATAATTTAACACAAAAGGTTTTACTTAATCATTCATTACAGATCATGTGCTGTTAAAATGCTTATAAATGACTTGGGTTGTTTTAAGATGTTTGTGGAGATGTTCCTTTTTGGCCACTCACCAACCGTGATCGTGAGGGTCCATGAATAGAGATGAAGAGTAAAAATGAATAGAAAAGGGAACAATTTATGCCCATTCTGGTAGAATGTTAATTAAAAGTTAAAAAGTCATTAGGTGGCTCCTTTTTTGTCTTTAAAACATGCATGTTTGGGACTTAGTCCATCTTATTTCCACCTTCAAGTGGTTAATTGTGGAGGACACTGGGTCAGAAGCCCATGCATCTGGTATAACCAGGTAGAAATGATAGTTTGTTGCCACCTGTTTCTGACATGGGACAATAGCTCTCCTTACAGTTCACAAAAGTTTTTGCTTTCCTCCTTCATATCTTATTATTTAAAAGAATGGGCACTAACTGGGAGCATTTTATAGGGATTTGTTCTGAATGTGCCCTCATCACTGTGGTTTCATCTGTGCATTTCCTTTTTCTTTAGTCTTCAAAGGTACTGTCAACTGACTGATCATACATCTGCTGGCATCACAGTCTGTTCACATTTATTCAGGGAGCTTCAGTTTGGTTGAAAATTGTACTGTGTACAATGCTTCTTTTCAAAATTGCCTATCATGTGTACACATACATGGGAGCATGTGTGTGCACACACAGCAGCTTCAAATGAGAACATCCATTTGTCTTTCTAAAACCCAAAGCACTTTTAATTTATCCCTACATCAGAAATCCTGCCCAGCTTTTCCTCAGTGATTGTGGAGACATTTGAATTATTGAAGATTATAATGCTTCCCTTTTGTGTACAAGCAATTCCTAAAATTGTTTAAGACTCTTGATCACAGGAGAATTCCCATATGTTGCCTGCAGCTAGGATTGAAACCTATAGGCAAGATGAAGAAAAAATCTAATTCAAAGTACAACTTCTGCTTACAGCCTTCTGAAGCGACATACTTAAATGCAGCAAATTGTTTTTGTAAGTCTTGTGTTGAATACTAACTCAGCTTCTAGTTTCCTTTTAGAAATGGCATGAAGTTAGGGTCACTAAGCCAGAAGTTTTACCTCTGTTCCTACTCTAGCATCAAATGTAGGGTCCTATAGATCCCATTGGTGAGAGTGGAGGCCACGGGGGGGGGGGGGGGGGGGGTGGTTGGACCTTGCAGATTCCCCGCAAGATCCTGGGACATAGTGAAAAGAAGTTTGTTTTTCCTGCCCAGTTCAAATCTGCTTCTCTTCTTAATGAATGAAGAGGTGGAAGGGATTCCTGTAAGAAAGGCCCTGTGCCACTACCTCATATTGTGTTGAGGAGGAGAATGAGGCCATTACCTGAGTCCCTCAAGACATCTGCCATCCTCTCCAGACTTCCAAGTTTACACCAAGTTCTTGTCAAGGAAGGTGACTAGGTGGACCTTTAGCTGAGTCAAACAAGGGTTCTTTAGATCCAGAGGCATCTCTTGGACCCAAAGAAGTTTAGCAAAGATGCAGAAGGTACTTCTTTGAAATGCATTAGGGCACCAATGTGGGGGTCCTGTCAACCACTGGAATTCCTGTTTTATTTGTCTGGTATAAGGCATCTCAAGTAGAACTTCATTAGCAAAAAGGGTATGAGAAGGAGAACATGGCAGCTATCGGAGCAGCTAGAGAGAGGCCTGGTGTGCTGTCATATTCCACCTGTACTACAGACTATCTGGTCCTCTTGGTCTTTGTTCTCTTTCTCCATGACTGGTTTAGCCCACTGTCCCCACAGAAATTGACTTATCCTTTGTTACCCAGGGTTCTGAAGTTGGTAAACCTCATCCAGCCCCAGGATTCTGGCCCCAGCTGCCTTGGCTATATTGGGTTGTGATGGTTGGGGCTGTGGGGAGAGACAGATCATGATGAATATCATAAACCATGCTGGGAAAGTTGGGATTTTCCTGAAGATGACTGGAGTCACTTAAAAATCACCAGTAGGGGATCAACAAACTCAGATTTGCTTTTGAACCTTGACCATGTTGACTGTGTGTTTAGCTTGAGGGGAAAGAGAAAGGCAGAGAATCTTAGTGAGAAATGATGATACTAGTGTGAGATGATAAAAGCCAAAACGAAGGCAGTGTCTTCCAGAGGAAGTATAGGGGAAGAAAGATGATGAATGTAATTCTAGATAGTGATTGTACCTAGAAAAATAAGGATTTTATTTGAAAGAATTGAGAGGGGAACACCCAGACAGATGTACCCCAGGCATGTTCTTTCACCTGACTACAGTCTCTTCCTATCTCTGGAATGCCCGCTACCCTTTCCTTTAACCAATATATCCATAAGCCAGAAGCCCACTTTGAATAATGTAAGTGAATTGCCCAAGATTCTTTCTCCTGCCTGTACCCAGAGAGCCTGGAATGTAACCAGGACTCAGTAAGTGGTGACTGAGTATTGCTGAACACTGGGGAGAAGTAGGATGCATCCACTGTTACCTGTGTGCAGCTCATTTTCTTCTTGTTCTCTGGAACAAAGAGGGGCACTCCAAAGGTGCTCAAACTGCAATCCAGATTGCCATTGGTCAGGTATAAGGCAAGCTGAGTCAGGGCCAGCTGGTCACTATAGGAGAGGTTAAGACTTGTGGCCCACACCTGATAAAGACAGGAACAAAGAAATGATGATGGAAACAGTGACCTGGACAGAGAATGCAAACCACCCCTGGCCACCCTAATCGCAGCAGCCAACTAACCCTGTCAACACATGACTTAAGGGAATAGATATTTTGCTTCTGTTTCTATTTCATTTGACTGAAGGATAGAGCCTCCAGTCTGATCCTGTTCAGAAGAATCAAGGTTCTTGTGGGAAGTTACCACATGGAAACACCTGGCAAGATAACCTGACGGAGATGCCCAGTCCCTAGAAGTTCATGTGAATTTGGATTTTTCTGCCTGTGGTTTGCCTTTTCAATGTGATCAGTGCAATGTTTTCTACTGAGAAAATGAGGACAGAAGCTTCAGAGAATGGGGATTTAAAGAAGAGCAGACATAAGAGGTAGAGTGAGTAAATATTTTTTGCCTTGATTTTAGAAAAAGCAGAGCTGGCTTCTCTGGGAATGTCAATATTATATTTAAGTAAAACTTATGGTTTGCTTGTAAGCCTTGGCCCTACCACCATTTTATTAAGAGAGTGCAATGATGTCACCATGATGTCACCATATCCTCTACTAGAAACCAGTGATGAACCCTACCCTCGACTCACAGGGTTGTTAGAAAAGCGCTGAGATGCAATAAAATTTCAAATGTTTTGAAAGACAGAAATATGTAGGCAATAGTTACTATAAACTACTAGATAACTGAGTAATGTCCATAATTCCTTTAAGAGATATTTACTGAGCATCTACTATGTGCTTAAATTGGTGATGGCAAAGTGGGTGCTGTGCTACTTCTCTTGTGCCATAGAAGACCATCCTTAGTCACCCTGTCTTCTACCACCACTCTAAACCCAGAAGCACCCCATAATCTTCCTCAGTTCAATGTCCAAGGCATATTATTGTGCTAGTCAATGGCATGTAGGCACAGGTCCTGCCACTGAGAAGGGGGAGACAGGTACATGCATATTCAGTAAGTTTCAACACAATGTAATGTGTGCTATGATAAAGGGATGGGACAAAGTATCACTGAAGGGGACATCCCTGGTGGCTCAGGGGTTTGGCTCAGCGCTATCACCGCCATGGCCTGAGTTCGATCCCCGGCCAGGGAGCTGACCCACATGGTGCAGCAGACATCTCCTGCCTCTCCTGTTGCTCCCCTCAGCAGTATATTTCAGTAGATCTGCCTGTTCTGCTCCCCACTCTGTCTCTGGTGAATCCTCTCACCCCCCCACACCTCTGGCCTGCACCCTAGTTCTTATATGCATAAATAAAAAAAAATAAATCTTTAAAAAACAAAAGCAAAGTACCACTGAAGCAGAAATAAACTGAGTTTAATCTAGTTAAACTCAGGACTGCATCATTTGAAGGTGACATTTGAGCTTTAACAACACAGAACATGACTGTCTCCCATGTGTACCTATTGCATGCCAGTACCTATTGCATGCCAGGTACTTCATCTCAGATATTTATAGTAACTTAAAAAATTACAGCCCCCCGTCATAGATGAAGAAACAGGTTACAGCCCCCTGTCATGCATGAAGAAACCCACAGAGCAAGGTAGTGGTAGTTCTGCTTGACTCCAAGTCTACCTCTTCCCATTGCCTGGGGAGAAGATGGCACCAATTCTGGCCCAGCCTGTCCTTCTCCTGTACCAGCTCCCAGTCAAATTAACAGCCGAAGTTGCAAAAGATCAAAACATGTTCTTGTTTAATATAATCCATGCCATGGAAATGTCTTGTGGAGAAAACATGAAGTATTATATTTCTGGAGTATACTGTAATTAGCAGTAATGCATTTTCACTGTAGGAAGTTGGAAACTAACACATTTTCATGAAGACTTGATTAAACATTTTTTCCTCTTAGAAAGCCTACATGTGCCCCACACACCAACTCGGTATGTTAAAATACATAATATATCTGCCCTAGAGTGGACTCCTCTCAAACAAATCTAGCAGTGAGTGACTTGAGTAAGCATTGAATGTAAATGGCATCATTATAAGGATATTAAGAGGTCAAGCTGTCAAGGCCCCTTGCTAAACTGAAGCTAATTTCAGGAGTCATATTCGCACAGTAATGCCCTTTTATAATAGCAGATAAATCACATTTGCAACAATTGTTAAAAACTAACTGCCAAGTATCTGTTGCAGTTGTAAATATCCTATTTGTCAACTTAAATATTTCCTGCTGTATGGCATAAAATGCAAATCAGATGGGGACAGCTACTTTTCCTTAATATGAGAAAGTGAACTTGCTGTTCTTGCATGTCAGACATTTTTAAATGCCTCTATTTTGAGGATTTAGTATCTGATCAAAGGGAAATGTATATAGAAAATACTACCAATATTTAATTATATTATTTATTTTAATAGTTATTAATTATATTAATGTTTTGGTGGCAGGGATTTTAATGGGAAGGCAGCCAGTGTAGAGGAGAGAGAGAACCAAGGTCAGAAAGCCTACATCTGGGACTCACAAATAGTGTAAACTTGAATGAGTTATTTAAGCTCTTTCAAACTCAGAGTCCTTAAGAAAAAAAGGAGCAAATACTAATACCAACACATGGGATTTTGAAAATTTTGTAACTTTGTAAGTTCAATGCAAATGTATAGTTATGATTACTAAACATTAAGAGGAGTAGGATCTTAGGAGACATATTTTTGGTTGTCTATATAGATGTGAGATTGCCCTATTCAATACTGTTTTCCCCATTCATAATCATTGTGTTCAACCTCAGCAATCCTGTAAGTACTGAGATTTGGGCAAGGTTGCTATTACCCTGTCTCCTTTTGACTTATTAGTATACTGAGATCAATAAACGGTTTCATGGTTTCTCTAAGATTGTAGAGGACAGACCAGAACTTTGGTCTTTCTGGAGCCAGAGTGCTTTTGCTTCCCCACGCTGCCCTAAATCCTTGGTTCACAAAGGAAATAGAACAAATTTCTTTAAGCCTTTTCCTCAACAGCAGGCTTGCCTGAATTGCTCAGATAATTGTTCTGTTCTCCATCTGGTTTTTCCATTGAAGACACCGCCTGAGGCATGCTTGTTTTGTGTACAGGGGTTCCTATCCCCCCCTCTAGACTGTCAGTCCTTTAGAGGAAGCTGCTGAAGCTTTGTCTTCTCACAACACCCGGTGTCGGGTCAGGGCTTAGCACGCAGCAGGGCATCAGCGCCTCAGTGATTCACTGACAACTCCTCTCCAACTTTTCAGGAACAGGGTCTAGGTGGCTATCTTGAAGCTGGTTTCAGATTCGAATGCAGCAAATACTCACCAAGCATGTCTGTGTCAGCTCTAAGCTTTCACACATACCTTATTTAATCCTAGTCTCGATTTTGGACTTCAGAACCTAATGTCTCTCTACATTAGTCTCAGCCCAGTTTAGATGTGCAATGCTGGTGGCCTATACAGAGGCATGGAGTGTGGATGGGGAGTAGACAGATTTTATTTTTTAATGTTTAGGAAGTGCTTTGACAGGACTTGCCTGCAATGGCCTGTAATGGCCAGCTAGACAGGTTAATTGATTAGGCATGAGGGTGAGGGAAAAGCATCATTCAAGTTTAGTGTTGGAAAGAACCTTGAAAAATCATCTACTACAGTGAGTTTACTGGTGTGAGAAGCCAGGTGGTGGTTTGCCCTAGGTTGTAGAGTCAGATAGCAAAGGTCTGGGATGAGAACCCAAGTTGTCTCAGCTCCCAGATGAAATCACTTGTGGGTAGTTGTTGGATCAGTGATCTTCAAATATCATTTTGTTAAAAATGGTTAGACTGCTAGAGAGATTAACACTAAAGCCTTAAGCACAAGTAACAAAGCATTACTTCTAGTATTCAAAAATTGCAGCTGTCCAACTTTGGGCATTGGTGAAGAAGATTATGAAGATTATGATACATCCAAATGATGGGATATTATCATTAGAGATAATGATTGTGAATAACTTTTGATGATGTAGGAAGATATACAAAACAGCAAGAGGGGAATATTAAGTTGTGTAGGCAATATGACTTCAGCTTTGCAAAAATACTTTCCTGGATATTCTAAATCAAATTATCTGGTAGCCACTGACATGAGCATCTGAAAAGTGATTGGTCATTGAGGTGTGCTATAAATGTACAGTACACATCAGATTTTGAAGACTGAGGAGATAAAAAGGAATGTGAAGTGTCTCAGTAATATTTTATAATGATTACATGTTGAAATGATATTTTGGTTATCTTGGGTTAAATAACACTTGAAACTATTTTCATAGATTTTTTTGGTTATATTTTAAAATGAAAATTAATGTAACTTTCTATTTCTATTGGATTGGTTGTGAAAGAGCCCATTGCAAGGGGGAGGACTGTAAGGGTGGGGTGGAAGAGGGCTACAGAGGTCTCAGCTTCTACTGCCTTGACCTGATGACCTGGGACGGAATGGGCAGAACAGAGGGCAGAAGGCAGCCAAGACACAGCAACAGCCTCATTGCTTTTAAACACGCATGTGAGAGCCAGAAGGCAGAGGTGAGCTTGCCCAGAGTTGTTCTGTTTTCAGGTTCTGGGTCCTGTTTGGACCACAAGCTTTGGAATGAAAAGAGAATAATATGCTTCTATGTGGGGAGGTATGGGAGAGAGGCCTGGTGTGGAGTCCTTTTTGCCTTAGGTGATCCAGGCAGATGGAGGCCGCCTGCTCACCCCTGCTGCTTCTGCCTCTTTCCCGTGACAGGCAGGATGGATGGGTGGTAGAGCATGCAGATGTGGGCAGATGTGCTCAGGCCCTGCATTCTGTGACTGTCTCCAACTGCAAAAAAAGTTCTTTGGTCTTGCCACCTCATGGAGAATTTTTTAAAAGGCAGATCCCCCAATGAAGGTGACTGAGAGATGCAGTGCTAGGAATCCACTCATCACAGAAATGCCATCAGGGCTTTTGAGCCATGCACAGCCCATCCTCCTTAGCAGCCTGTCTTGGCTGAGCATGTGTAGACTACCTCACTGCCCAGGTCTTAATTCACAGTCCCAGTCTGACAGGAAAT